TATCTCTGGGCTTGAGTGTAACTTTTTTTTAAAAGGAAAGAAACAAGAAAAGAAAGGAAAGACAGGAAGAGCATATATATCCACTCTGTTACTCTGCAGACCTCACGGCCCTCCAGGGCCATCACCTCTGCAGAGGCCAAGGTCATGTCAAGGGCAGGGGCTCTGGGTCCCACTCACTGTAACCAGGCTGGGCGCATCTCCATGGGATGCCTCGGAGGGATGTGAACACATTAGAAACTCATAAGATTTTAGTTTACAGGTCCCGGTGGGCAGAGAGAGGCTGCGTAAGTGATGTCCATCCAGGTGGAGTTTGTTTTGAACCTCACGTGGTTTTTTTTGTTTTTTTTGTTTTTTTTTTGAGACAGAGTCTGGCTCTGTTGCCCGGGCTAGAGTGCCATGGCGTCAGCCTAGCTCACAGGAACCTCAAACTCCTGGCTCAAGCGATCCTCCTGCCTCAGCCTTCTGAGTAGCTGGGACTACAGGCATGCGCCACCATGCCCGACTAATTTTTTCTTTCTATATATATTTTTAGTTGTCCAGATAATTTCTTTCTATTTTTAGTAGAGACGGGGGGTCTCACTCTTTTTCAGGCTGGTCTCGAACTCCTGACCTTGAGTGATCCTCCCGCCTCGGCCTCCCCAGAGTGCTAGGATTACAGGCGTCAGCCACCGCGCCCGGCCTAAACCTCACGTCTTAACCCCTGGTTATGTGGGCCAGCAGCCCGGGTCCTCCCCATCTCAGCTGTCCCTTCTGCCCAAGATGGCAACGGAGCTTGCCCGCTGAGGTCCTCAGCAGCCTGGGGACCACAGGGTCTTGAGATGCCTCGCTCACTGTCCTCAGCCAGCCCCCCGTCATTGCCTGGTTCATCCCAGACTCCAGACCTCCATCATTTAAAAAAACTTTTTAATATTAAAAATTTCAAACATAAAGGAAAATTAAAAGAATAGCAAAAAACACCAGTATAGTCACCCATTGTTAACATTTCACTATTTTTGCTGATAGTTGCTCTATCAGGTGGACCTGGTGCCAATAAGAATATTCGTCCTGGTGGCCTCTGCAGAGGTGGTGGCCCTGGAGGACAATGAGGTCTGCAGAGCAACAGAGTGGATTCCTTCCTTTGCTCTTCTTCTCTTCTTTTTCTTATTTCTTTCCTTTTTTTCGTTTTTAAGTTACACTCAAGCCCAGAGATCAGAAGGCAAAATCGTTTTAAAACCTTACAGACTAATTACCACGTGACTCAGCAATTCCACTCCTAGGAATTACCCCAAAGGAACTGAAGTCAGGCACTCAGACAAATACTAAATACACGTGTGTTCACAGCTGCACTATTCGCAACAGCCAAAAGGTGGAACTAGCACAAATGCCCACAGCATCTATAAATACATTTTTTCCCTCTCAATCATTTGAGGGGTGCAAACATCATGACTCTTCATTATAGATACCACAGTGTGCATCTCTTCAGAACAAGAATATTCTTCCACTTGCCCATAATGCTGCTATTATACTCAGAAAATGAACAAGAATTCCCTAATATCTTGTATACAGCCCATATTAAAATTTCCTTAATTATCCCCTAAATGTGTGGTTTATTTGAGCTGGGAGCCAATCAAGGATCATGTATTACATTTGGTTTTGTCTCTTTAATCTCCTTCAATGTAAATGTTACTCATGCCCAATCCCATTTTATCCTGTGATGCTGACTTTTTGAAGAGACTGGACCAGTTGTCTTGTAGAATATCTAGATATTGGTTTGTTAAATTATTTCCTTGTGGTGTCATTTAATTTGCTCTTCTGTGAGTTGTATTTCCTGTAACCTGGAAATTAGGTTCAGAGATTTGATTAGATTCAGGTTAAATGCTTTTGGCAAGAATCTTTGATTTTATAAACTTCATGTTGCATCTTGTCAGGCGACACCCAAGGTCAAAGCACCATTATTAGTCTGTTCAATTCATGAGTAACCTGGGGGTGACACGGTGAACACCCACTCCCAATGCGTCTACTGGTTATCAGTTATTAGATGGGGAGGGTTTGCAAAAATGGTGATTCTCTAAGCCTGCCATCCCTCCCACAGTGCTGGCTGCCACCCTCTGTACAGGAGTGCTTCCCTCGTCACCCAGCAATGACGAGGGGTCATTCTAAAGCGTCAGGGTAGATGTTTAATCTTTTGCCTTTAATTATGAATTCTTTGGGTGGGGAGTTAGTACAATGTTCTCCTCTGATGGTGGCAAATGACTATTTTTGAATGTCAGTGTTGGCTCGTGGATTTTTATTTATTCATGGCTTACAATCAAGTACAATAATTATTCTTTTTGATGCCTGAATTATCCCAAATTTGGCCAGCAGGAGCACCTGCAAGCTGGCTCCTGGGTCTTTGCTTCCTGGCACAACAAGATGTCCCAGACTCCCCTGGTATTTCCCCTTCTCCAAACCTCGAGGTAGCTGTTTCCCCAAGCCGATCCGATTCCTTTTAGTGCAGGATGGTGTTTACAATAAAGATTGGGGTATAGGCGTGCTCATTGCCCAGGGGGTGTCAGTA